CCCAGTGCTTTCTGGAGAAGCAAGCGGGATGGCCGATCACCAAACTTTCTTTTGAGTACAGACCAACCACTTGGGGGTTATTTTCTTAATGATGATATCATGACCATGGTGCTACAAGTTGAGAACTCAATTCTTCCTGCTCCTTAGGTTCTGCTACTGACAGATGGAGAAGCTGTTGTGCCTTTCCATGTACTCATGGGTCATGTGGAGGATTCAGTTAGCTCGGGCCCATTTCTGTGCAAGTCCGAAACACTGCTACACTCAGCATCAGCTCAAGCACAAGCATCAGTTCTTACTACAAGTGTTGGATAGCTGGTCCTGCTGGCAGCTCACAGTTAGGCTCTTAACAAGTAGAAGAAGTAATAGCCTGACCCAAGCCTCTGCTTTTGGTTTCAGTGCCTTCTCCTCAATTCGACCATGGGTGCCATCAGTGGAGAGCTTCAGTCCTACAGCGATGTCTGTGAAGCCCTGTCTGTTATAGAGGTTACTCTGGGCTTTCTAGGCACAGCTGGTGGGGATCCAAATATGCATCTGAATGTGTATGTCCAAGACATCCTGCGAATGGGTGACCAAATGACTCCAATTTTAAAGGTGGGTCCCATATGCCTTTCAAGGAGAATCAGTATCACTTCATCTTAATTTCCTGACAGAATGCCACCAAACAGGGAGCATCAATGCAGGCACCCCTGGAAAGGGGCAGTCACGAACCCTACCCCTAGCCAGTCCACAGAATAGCAGCACACACTGGGGACAGGAGAGGAAGGGACACTCAGTGCTGACCACCTAGTAGAGTGGGATGCACAAGTGACTGAGGACATTGGCTACCTGTACGTTGCATGATGCTCACAGACAGTGAGCTGCTGCAGGAGAAGTAATAGAAGTAATAGACTCATGTGTTTGCAAGATGAGACAGGTAGACTCTTGGATGGAACAGAGGTGGCTTCAAGACAGGAAATGGAAGAAATAGGGAGGAGTGCCCTGGGGTAGCACCCAGAGTCCTTGGTGTGCACCAAGGGAGGGTGTGAGCCTTTGCATTCTACTTGGGACTCTCTTTCCTCTTCCAGGCCTTAAGCAGATGTCAGTTAAAACACACCATTGCTCTCTGGCAATTCCTCTCTGCTCATAAGTCGGAACAGCTACTGGGACTGAAGAAAGTGAGTCTGCCCTGCCTCTGCCCAGACTAAGGGAGATGCACCCTCTCCCCAGGCTTTGATGTTGCACTTGTTTATCTTTTTTTAGGATCCCTTTAGGGAAATCAGTTCTAAGTACAAAGCAGACCTCAGCCCAGAAAGTGCTAAGCTCCTCAGCGCCTTCCTGAATTACACAGACCTGGATGCTTTCCTCCTAGAGCTTCATGAAATGATGGTGTTGAAACTAAGAAACACTCAGACCCAGGACA